CTTGAGGGCAAGGCTCTCCTGCTCCACTCACCTTGGGCCTTGTCAGCCCTTGGTCCCTGAAGTCGTCATCGTCGCCCACCCCAAGTTTCCGGCTCCGGCGCCTGCTATTGTTGCCAAGCACCTGGGCGTTGGCTTTGAGGACGTGGTTTATGGCGTGCAGGCAGTACACGTGGCGGATCTCCTCCCCATTCTTCAGGGCGGTCCTTTCTGGGTAGAACAAGTCCTGGTAAGAATTCATAATCAAGAACAGCTCTTTCTGGAGCGGTGTGAAGGGGCTACTTGATTTCTGGGGACCGGAGAGAAACTGGCTGTTGGTCTTGGTCCAGGTGGATTCCAGGGGCTTCTGGAGATAAAGTGCCTTCAGGTCAAGGTCCTTTGGGGGTTTAAATGTTTCCAACTTCTGAAACTTGGATGAAAAGACAAGCTGACCCAGAGTGGGCCACTAGGAGAGAGACAGAGCAAGAGCTATGTTAGAAATGAATTATAATACCTCATATTCACACAGTACTTTACAATTTACCAAGAGCTTTCATGATCTACAGTAATCTCATTCAATCCTCACCACAACCCTAAATGCTCTTCTTACAGTGTAGGAAAGGCTGAGGGTCAGAGAGGTTATATTATTCAGACAAATGTTTTCAAACAGTGTTATAGCAGTTATAGCAATGGAGAAGACTAGTGGTCACCAAGGATTGGGAATGGGGCCAGGGGAAACAGGAGGGATCTGTATGGTGCTGGAAATGTCCTGCATCCTGACTGTGGTGGAGGGTAGGGGAACCTACTCATGCGACAAAACAGTACAGAACTAAACACACACACAACTGAGCAGGAGCAAAACGAAGGAAATGTAAGACAGGTAGACTGGCTCCCCCACTCCAGCTTCTCAGTCCCTTTCTAGCTACACCTGTGCCCCGCGAGGCTCCTCTAGCCTCCCTGTGCCCTGCTCCCCATCAAGCCACCCACCACTGGTGTATGTCCTGTATTCAGGGAGACCGCTAACACCCAAGCCCACTGCTTTACTTAGAGCTTCCCTCCCCCGTGACTGAGACGACCAGGCGACACTTACTTTTAGCTCGTGGGTAGTTTTGGGATTTGTGGCAACGGCCTGAATTTCTTTTTCTTTCAGTTCCTTGTTTACATGGTGCAGAAATGGATCTAATTGAGAAATACAGACTGTCAGAACACTTGGAGAAAAGGGCAGGCATGTTTTGGTCTTTCCCTGTGAATGACATGCTGCTCTTCATGGTAACTCACCCTTTTCCCATCTACTTTCCCCAAACTCTCTCCCAGTCCAGAGCTTAAAAGTTTCTGACAGGTTCATTTTTCTAAAGCACTTTTCCAATCACACTGCTTCCCAGCTCAAAAACCTTCAAAAAAA